AGACAGACAGACAGACAGACAGACAGACAGACAGACAGACAGACAGACAGACAGATCGTCGGATAGATAGATAGATAGATAGATAGATAGATAGATAGATAGATGGATGGATGGATGGATGGATGGATGGATGGATGGATGGATGGATGGATGGATGGATGGATAGATAGATAAATAGATAGATAGATAGGTCATTAATGTTTTCCGGGAACATTATACAAGTGTTTGGTCTGTTAGTTTTAGTGATGATAAGTACAAATCAGACCTTGAAGCATAATGATATTGCTTTTCATTTTGTCAGATGCAAGGAATTGTCGGGGCAGTACTACTGAGACCAAAGACTAAGCACAGATCTCGGACAAGGATAGCACTTGACAAAATTAGGTCGCCTACGCCAGGAAATACTGCCTTTAATGACGCACAAATGAAACAAACGTTGCTGCCCCCTACAAAGACAGAAACAGAAATTGATCACAAAATTGCAGAAACGAAACAATGTGAAGCGTTGGTTGATTCAAGTAATAAAAGTATTCTCAACGGAGTCTCTGAAATGAAACCTTATAATGGTTCTTTTGACAAAAACGGACACAACGGAGCCAAATCAGATTACCTACCATCAGAAAATGATGAAGATCGAAAAGATGGATGTGGCAGATACTCCAGCGAGGTTCCTGGTTACTTCGATAAAGACACTGGTTCCGAATTCAGACAGAAAGACAGCGAAGTCAGTTCCTCAAGCAAAAAACCTAAGTCTCAGTTGTCCAAACTAGTAAGGCGGGTATGGATGTTACGGAAATCCATGTTAGACCTAGGCTCTCTCAAGGACCCCTTGTGTGTCGTGTCATTATCAGCGTTCGGATTAATGCACGCGGGAAAAAGTCTCTCTATTTACCTACCACCGTACGCTGAGGAGGTGGGCGTGTCCCCTACAGAGGCGTCGACCTTACTAACCATCATGGGAGCAGTGGGGATGCCGAGCCGTATTGCTGCCGGCTTTCTCGCAGATCTAAAAATCGTGAAAGCCAGCACTATCGTGGGCGTGTCCGGTCTTGTTATGGCCCTCACGATGGCTTTTACTCCCCTGTACACGAGCTATGAGACGTTGGTCGGATGTGCTGTGGTATCTGGGACGCTGTACTTCCAGTACAGCAATCTGTGCACTCTCATGTTCCTGGAGGTGGTCCCACTGGAAAGTCTCGTCAAAGTCATGGCTCTGTCCGTGCTCTTTGAGAGCGTGTCGGGCACCATCACACATCTGATTCACGGTAAACTTGACCCCCTAAGATTACATCATGCGTCCCTTTTCGTAAAAATGGCGTAAATAACGGAGTCTTACACTAAGCAATTAAAATGTCTTTTTAGCGGCCCAAAGATGTACTGTTGCTCATTTAATTTCCCCACAATTTTGTTTTTCCCCTCATTAAAAACCAGTTATGTTGCAATTGTTTCTATGCAATTTGCTATCTGGCCCCCCTACTCCCCCCACCCCCACCCCTCCTTAAAAAATAAACCCTCGTGTTGCAGCTGCTTCAAGGTACTTTGATATCTTTACTGGACTCTTACCTGTTGTGTTTGTTCTGTTCTATTGAGGCTGTTGTTGTTATTACATTCATTATCGCCGCTGCCACTGCCTTTGTTCTTGTAGTGTTGCCTCATACAGACGATATGTATACCTGCATGTATTTTTACGGTCCTGTACAGCCGACAAAAATTTCCCTTTAGGATAATAAAGTTGTATCTTATCTTATCTTATCTTACTTGTCTTATCGTATCTTATCTTATCTTATCTTATCTTATCTTATCTTATCTTATCTTATCTTATCTTATCTTTTCTTATCTTATGTATTGTGACCTCTCACTGTGTGTCGTGATGTTGTTTGACATTGAAGTTAAAGTAGAATTATTAGACCCAGATCTAGATCTAGTTCTTTCTCAAAAGCATTAGACTTTGAATGACGCTATAACAATACAATACAGCGCAACGCAACGCATGGCAACGCAATACAATACAACACGATACAATACAATAGGATAATAATGTTAATATATACATGTTTACATATTATATG